TTTTACCCTTTCTGGCAGTAAAACAGGAGGCATTAAGATGTCCAAACACCAAACAGAAACTTTTTGCAAGGAATCGAGTTCGCATTAACCACACGCGGTGCTTGTGGTGAACGTACCAATAAAAAAACACGCGCTGATAATTATATCTGCGTTGTGTTTGAAACTGATTTAATATTCTGTCGAGTCGTGAGTGGAGTATGCACGCGACCGGCACCCACAGCCATAGGTGAAATGTATACTGGATGTGGTGCGCCGCTTGTGGAAATAGTTTCCGGGTCGCCGCATATGTAGTAGCTCCTACATTTGTAGTAGCTACTACAGTACATATGCTACTACATATGTAATAGCATATGAGTAGCTTATGTAAGTAATATGTAGTAGCTCCTACATATGTGGTAGCATATGTAGTAGCTACGGGCTCCGCACTTTCAAGGGCCCCGCGCTAAATGCTTTCAAGCTATCAATTCCGGTTCAGTGATCTGCACTTGCTCTATCACTATAGTACTATACTGCCTTCAAATTTTATGAACGACTGGGTGTTTAAGGTTAGCGATTTGTCGCATTATCAAGCTGTATAGCAATTGAAAAGATACAATGACTTTAGAAAAAATAAGACTTACTACCCAGGAAGAATAATTGTGTTACATGTTGTCAATTGACGCGAGCATGCGTTGATTTGCGAGAGCGAGTGTATCGGAGAGCGAGTGTCTCGGAGAGCGAGTGTCTCGGAGAGCGAGTGTCTCGGAGAGCGAGAGCGAGTGTCTCGGAGAGGGAGTGCCTGGCAGAGCGAGAGCGAGTGTCTCGGAGAGCGAGTGTCTCAGAGAGCGAGTGCGAGTGTCTCAGAGAGCGAGTGTCTCGGAGAGTGAGCGTCTCGGAGAGTGAGTGCGAGTGTCTCGTAGAGCGAGTGTCTCGGAGAGCGAATGCGAGTGTCTTGGAGAGCGAGTGTCTCGGAGAGCGAGTGCGAGTGTCTCGGAGAGCAAGTGTCACGGAGAGTGAGTGCGAGTGTCTCGGAGAGTGAGTGCGAGTGTCTCGGAGAGCGAGTGTCTCGGAGAGCGAGTACGAGTGTCTCGGAGAACGAGTGTCTCGGAGAGCGAGTGCGAGCGTCTCGGAGAGCGAGTGTCTTGGAGAGCGAGTCCGAGTGTCTCGGAGAGCGAGTGTCTCGGAGAGCGAGTGTCTCGGAGAGCGAGAGCGAGTGTCTCGGAGAGGGAGTGCCTGGCAGAGCGAGAGCGAGTGTCTCGGAGAGCGAGTGTCTCAGAGAGCGAGTGCGAGTGTCTCAGAGAGCGAGTGTCTCGGAGAGTGAGCGTCTCGGAGAGTGAGTGCGAGTGTCTCGTAGAGCGAGTGTCTCGGAGAGCGAAAGCGAGTGTCTTGGAGAGCGAGTGTCTCGGAGAGCGAGTGTCTCGGAGAGCGAGTGTCTCGGAGAGCGAGTGCGAGTGTCTCGGAGAGCGAGTGTCTCGGAGAGTGAGTGCGAGTGTCTCGGAGAGTGAGTGCGAGTGTCTCGGAGAGCGAGTGTCTCGGAGAGCGAGTACGAGTGTCTCGGAGAACGAGTGTCTCGGAGAGCGAGTGCGAGCGTCTCGGAGAGCGAGTGTCTCGGAGAGCGAGTCCGAGTGTCTCAGAGAGCGAGTGTCTCGGAGAGCGAGTGTCTCGGAGAGCGAGTGTCTCAGAGAGCGAGTGTCTCGGAGAGCGAGTGCGAGCGTCTCGGAGAGCGAGTGTCTCGGAGAGCGAGTGTCTCGGAGAGTGAGTGTCTCGGAGAGCGAGTGCGAGCGTCTCGGAGAGCGAGTGTCTCAGAGAGCGAGTGTCTCGGAGAGCGAGAGCGAGAGCGAGTGTCTCAGAGAGCGAGTGTCTCAGAGAGCGAGTGTCTCAGAGATCGAGTGTCTCAGAGAGCGAGTGCGAGTGTCTCGGAGAGCGAGTGTCTCGGAGAGCGAGCGTCTCGGAGAGCGAGTGTCTCAGAGAGCGAGTGTCTCGGAGAGCGAGAGCGAGAGCGAGTGTCTCAGAGAGCGAGTGTCTCAGAGAGCGAGAGCGAGTGTCTCAGAGAGCGAGTGTCTCGGAGAGCGAGAGCGAGTGTCTCAGAGAGCGAGTGTCTCAGAGAGCGAGAGCGAGTGTCTCAGAGAGCGAGTGTCTCAGAGAGCGAGTGTCTCAGAGATCGAGTGTCTCAGAGAGCGAGTGCGAGTGTCTCGGAGAGCGAGTGTCTCGGAGAGCGAGTGCGAGCGTCTCGGAGAGCGAGTGTCTCAGAGAGCGAGTGTCTCGGAGAGCGAGAGCGAGTGTCTCAGAGAGCGAGTGTCTCAGAGAGCGAGAGCGAGTGTCTCAGAGAGCGAGTGTCTCGGAGAGCGAGAGCGAGTGTCTCAGAGAGCGAGTGTCTCGGAGAGCGAGAGCGAGTGTCTCGAAGAGCAGGAGCGAGTGTCTCGGAGAGCGAGTGTCTCGGAGAGCGAGTGCGAGCGTCTCGGAGAGCGAGTGTCTCAGAGAGCGAGTGTCTCGGAGAGCGAGAGCGAGTGTCTCAGAGAGCGAGTGTCTCAAAGAGCGAGAGCGAGTGTCTCAGAGAGCGAGTGTCTCAGAGAGTGAGTGCGAGTGTCTCGGAGAGCGAGTGTCTCGGAGAGCGAGCGTCTCGGAGAGCGAGTGTCTCAGAGAGCGAATGTCTTGGAGAGCGAGAGCGAGTGTCTCAGAGAGCGAGAGCGAGTGTCTCAGAGAGCGAGTGTCTCGGAGAGCGAGAGCGAGTGTCTCAGAGAGCGAGTGTCCCAGAGAGCGAGAGCGAGAGCGAGTGTCTCAGAGAGCGAGTGTCTCAGAGAGCGAGTGTCTCGGAGAGCGAGAGCGAGTGTCTCGAAGAGCAGGAGCGAGTGTCTCGGAGAGCGAGTGTCTCGGAGAGCGAGTGCGAGCGTCTCGGAGAGCGAGTGTCTCAGAGAGCGAGTATCTCGGAGAGCAAGAGTGAGAGCGAGTGTCTCAGAGAGCGAGTGTCTCAGAGAGCGAGAGCGAGTGTCTCAGAGAGCGAGTGTCTCGGAGAGCGAGAGCGAGTGTCTCAGAGAGCGAGTGTCTCAGAGAGCGAGAGCGAGTGTCTCAGAGAGCGAGTGTCTCAGAGAGCGAGAGCAAGTGTCTCAGAGAGCGAGTGTCTCGGAGAGCGAGAGCGAGTGTCTCAGAGAGCGAGAGTGAGTGTCTCAGAGAGCGAGTGAGAGTGTCTTGGAGAGCGAGTGTCTCGGAGAGTGAGTGCGAGTGTCTCAGAGAGCGAGTGTTTCAGAGAGCGAGTGCGAGTGTCTCGGAGAGCGAGTGTCTCAGAGAGTGACTGTCTTGGAGAGCGAGTGCGAGCGTCTCGGAGAGCGAGTGTCTCGGAGAGTGAGTGTCTCGGAGAGTGAGTGCGAGTGTCTCGGAGAGTGAGTGCGAGTGTCTCGGAGAGCGAGTGTCTCGGAGAGCGAGTGCGAGTGTCTCGGAGAGCGAGTGTGAGTGTCTCAGAGAGTGAGTGCGAGTGTCTCGGAGAGTGAGTTTCTCGGAGAGCGAGCGTCTCGGAGAGCAAGTGTCTCGGAGAGCGAGTGCGAGTGTCTCGGAGAGTGAGTGCGAGTGTCTCGGAGAGAGAGTGTCTCGGAGAGTAAGTTTCTCGGAGAGCGAGCGTCTCGGAGAGCGAGTGTCTCGGAGAGCGAGTGCGAGTGTCTCGGAGAGCGAGTGCGAGTGTCTCGGAGAGTGAGTGTCTCGGAGAGTGAGTGCGAGTGTCTCGGAGAGTGAGTGTCTCGGAGAGTGAGTGCGAGTGTCTCGGAGAGCGAGTGCGAGTGTCTCGGAGTGCGAGTGTCTCAGAGAGTGAGTGCGAGTGTCTCGGAGTGCGAGTGTCTCGGAGAGCGAGTGTCTCGGAGAGCGAGTGTGAGTGTCTCGGAGAACGAGTGTGAGTGTCTCGGAGAGCGAGTGTCTCGGAGAGCGAGTACGAGTGTCTCGGAGTGCGAGTGTCTCAGAGAGTGAGTGCGAGTGTCTCGGAGTGCGAGTGTCTCGGAGAGCGAGTGTCTCAGAGAGCGAGTGCGAGTGTCTCGGAGTGCGAGTGTCTCAGAGAGTGAGTGCGAGTGTCTCGGAGAGCGAGTGTCTCGGAGAGCGAGTGCTAGTGTCTCGGAGAGCGAGTGTCTCAGAGAGCGAGCGCGAGTGTCTCGGAGAGCGAGTGTCTCGGAGAGCGAGTGTCTCAGAGAGCGAGTGTGAGTGTCTCGGAGAGCGAGTGTCTCGGAGAGCGAGTGCGAGTGTCTCGGAGAGCGAGTGTCTCGGAGAGCGAGTGTCTCGGAGAGCGAGTGTCTCGGAGAGCGAGTGCGAGTGTTCTCGGGGTGTCCAATAACAGCGATTGCTGCAGCAGCCCCGACGCCCTATCTGTAGTGGCCAGCGAACAGCAGTAGCCGACCTGTACATTGGCATCGAACTCGTGAATAATAATAATGACGATGATGATGATGGTAGCATCGCTCTGCTCCTGCTGTCACCATGCGCAACAAAATAAAATAGCGGTAAGTTGGTCGGGAGCCGCGGTGGGATTCTTAAGCGATGCCGACGATTGTGACGATGATGGTGACAATGGTGATGATGGTGACGATATTATCATGATGGTGACGATATTATCATGATGGTGACGATGGTGATCATGATGACGATGGTGACGACGGTGATCATGATGGTGACGATGGTGATCATGATGACGATGGTGATCATGATGACGATGGTGATCATGATGACAACGACGGTGATGATGATAATGATCATGATGACAACGATGGTGATTATGATGACGATGGTGATCATGATGGTGACGATGGTGATCATGATGGTGACGATGGTGATCATTATGACGATGGTGATCATGATGACGACGATGATGATGATCGTGACGATGGTGATCGTTATGACGATGACAGTGATAATGGTGACGACGACGGTGATGATGATGATGACGACAATGGTGACGATGATGATGGTGACGATGGCGATCATAATAACGACGGCGGCGGTGACGATGGTGACGATGCGAGTCGGTCCCTGTGTCTCCTGCACGGCAGGATCCAGCGTGCGTGGCGCGCCCTCGTCAGCCGGCGCGATGCGGCGCTGGACTCGCCCTGCTCCTCCTCCTCGTCCTCCTCGCACAAGCTGCTGCTGCTCAGCTCCTCCATCAGCATGAGCACAGTGTCGGGCGGCACCACCCCAGTGAGTCCCCACCCCCCGCCTGCTCTCTCAATGCCTCGTTCGGTGCAGGCAGGAAATTGTTCGGAGCGCCGGGTCCACGACGCGTGGCTGCTGCTGCTGCTTCTGCTTTCCAGCTCGTCTGTGGTTCTTCCTGGCGCCTCTGAGTTATCTTCTCTCTGTCTCTCTCTGTGAGACGTCTTCTCTCTCTCTCTCTCTGTCGTCCTCTCTCTCTCTGAGTTGTCTTCTCTTTCTCTCTCTCAGTCGTCCTCTCTCTCTCTCTGAGTCGTTCCTCTCTTTCTCTCTCTCTCTCTGAGTCGTCCTCTCTCTCTGCGTCGTCCTCTCTCTCTCTGAGTCGTTCCTCTCTTTCTCTCTCTCTCTCTCAGTTGTCCTCTCTCTCTGTGTCGTCCTCTCTCTCTCTCTGCGTCGTCCTCTCTCTCTCTCTCTCTGAGTCGTCCTCTCTCTCTCTCTCTGAGTCGTTCCTCTCTTTCTCTCTCTCTCTCTCAGTTGTCCTCTCTCTCTGTGTCGTCCTCTCACTCTCTGCGTCGTCCTCTCTCTCTCTGAGTCGTCCTCTCTCTCTGAGTCGTCCTCTCTCTCTCTCTCTCTCTGCGTCGTCTCTCTCTGAGTCGTCCTCTCTCTCTGAGTCGTCCTCTCTCTTTGAGTCGTCCTCTCTCTCTGAGTCGTCCTCTCTCTCTGAGTCGTCCTCTCTCTCTCTGAGTCGTCCTCTCTCTCTGAGTCGTCCTCTCTCTCTCTCTGAGTCGTCCTCTCTCTCTCTGAGTCGTCCTCTCTCTCTGAGTCGTCCTCTCTCTCTGAGTCGTCCTCTCTCTCTCTGAGTCGTCCTCTCTCTCTGAGTCGCCCTCTCTCTCTCTGAGTCGTCCTCTCTCTCTGAGTCGTCCTCTCTCTCTCTCTGAGTCGTCCTCTCTCTCTGAGTCGTCCTCTCTCTCTCTCTGAGTCGTCCTCTCTCTCTGAGTCGTCCTCTCTCTCTCTGAGTCGTCCACTCTCTCTCTGAGTCGTCCTCTCTCTCTCTGAGTCGTCCTCTCCCTCTCTCTCTGAGTCGTCCTCTCTCTCTGTGTCGTCCTCTCTCTGAGTCGTCCTCTCTCTCTGAGTCGTCCTCTCTCTCTGAGTCGTCCTCTCTCTCTCTCTCCGAGAGCGAGCGAACACTCCGATGCGACGGTGCGTTACAAGTGGACATTACTTTCATCATTATTTTTTTCCCCACTGGCGAGTCCGAGCCGTGCCAGGGCGTGGTGGCACGGCGTCTGTACGCGCGGCTCCTCTCGTCCACGCGGTGCGACTTCAGGACACAACTGGGCGGCCATTTGTGCGCCGCGGTGACGAGATGTTAACCCCGTCGCCTGGTACGCAAGAGGTCGTGGATTCAATCCCGACCCCGACGCCTGCTGCTGTATATTTGGGGGTTTGCGTGTCGCTCTCTTTCTCTCTCTCCGTGGTCGCGTGGGCTTTCCTCCGAGCCCTCCGGTTTTACCCTCCACATTTAGAATCAACATCACGCCTTTAGAATATTTGGCCACCTGTACATTTCCACGTGATGATGAGCAACTTCGTGCGGCTGTCATTTGTGGCCAGGTCGCTTCTTAAATAAAAAAAGAGCGATATATAGAATTTAAACAGTTGAGAATTTGAACTCTGCCAGGCTTCGTGAAATCCTACTTGGTCTGGTGCCAGAGAAAAAAAAAACAACTTAAAATCTACACCGGTACCCGAATTCTCCCTACCTTGTGGCCGATTTTGGAACGCATCGTGCCCGTGACTGCACCGATGCCGAGCGAGTTTGGTGTCGGTGGCATCTCTGAAGCTGCTGCTGGGGCTGATGGGGCTGCTGCTGATGCCACACAGGCCCTCAAAATCGGCGAACGCCTCTCTCTGTGTTTGACTCCAGCAGTCGGTGTCCCGTAATCAAACTCACTGAGCAGGTGAGTTTTCTGGGCTCGAGGTCACTTGCTATCGGGGTCCATTGTTTTTGTTGTTGTTGTTGTTGCTGAAGTTCCACGTGGACCTGCGACTGTGGTGCTGGTACACCCAAGGAGATGAGAGGGGCCTTGTCTGTTGAGTGCTCGACACAAAAGCAAAGGAAGCCCCCTCCGCAACCCCCAGGTCTCTGCTTCCGTAATTTGATTTGAACCTCCAAGGGGTGGCGCTGAGAGCTTGGCAGGCGGCTGCTGACATTGTCGGTGTATTTGTTCAAGCCGACGCGCAAACACCACACACACCACACCATACACACCACACACACACCATACATACACCATACACACCATACACAAACACACCATACACACACCACATACACCATACACACACCATACACACCACACACACACCACACACACCACACCATACACACCACACATACACCACACACACACCATACACACCACACATACACCATACACACACCATACACACATACACACACACCACACACCACACCATACACACCACACATACACCATACATACACCATACACACCATACACACAAACACACCATACACACCACACAT